GGCCGTTTTCCCGCCGCGCCGCGCCCTGCCGTTTTCCCGCCGCACCGCGCCGTTTTCCCGCCCCTGACGCGTGGTCCGCGGAGGCCAGAACAGATTAACGATAATTACATTGAACCTTATGGGAAAATTTGCTTCGGGGTGCAACCAAATTCGGGCGGAGGGCGGAACGGATTAACCGTATTTACATTGAACCTTACGGGGAAATTTGCCTCGGGGTGCGACCAAATTCGGAGGGCGGAACGGATTAACCGTATTTACATTGAACCTTACGGGGAAATTTGCCTCGGGGTGCGACCAAATTCGGAGGGCGGAACGGATTAACCGTATTTACATTGAACCTTACGGGGAAATTTGCCTCGGGGTGCGACCAAATTCGGAGGGCGGAACGGATTAACCGTATTTACATTGAACCTTACGGGGAAATTTGCCTCGGGGTGCGACCAAATTCGGAGGGCGGAACGGATTAACCGTATTTACATTGAACCTTACGGGGAAATTTGCCTCGGGGTGCGACCAAATTCGGAGGGCGGAACGGATTAACCGGATTTACATTGAACCCTATGGGGAAATTTCCTTCGGGTTACGACCAACTCAGGATACGCCCAGAGTCACGGAACGGATTATGTTCGTATCCCGAGGTACCACTGTATTCCAACAACTACTTCCTTTCTTTTCTTCTGGAGCCAGTGAAACACACTTTGCCAGGGTGTTTGGGAGAAGCCCAAAGCCAAATATGTTGCTCACAGAGTTCTCTTTAGCAAGATTTATTGAGGCAAAAAGAATGGGATTACAAGAATTCCAGCAACAGATCTATTTTCCATTGACAAACAATATATCCCTGTGTACATGCAGGCAGAGACTTTCTGATTCTCTAGCAGGCTTCCTATTAGAGGTTAATCATGTCATTGTTTGTAAACGCTTACCTGGAAAAATGAATTGCTGCTTGTACTTGTAATACTGGGAAGCTGGAAAAGTGAAAACACAATTTAGGAGGAATAAGTAATTCGCTTTTCACTATTTTTTACAAAGGCAGTGTCCAGCATTATCTTCTGGCAAGCTCCAGCATTCAACTAATCTTCATGCTAAAATTAAATTCCTTTCCCCAGGTGACCAGGATAATAAACATCTCACAAGGGAAGTGCAAAGGGGGTTTGCCAGCTCACTCAGAGGCATCAGAAGGACCCTGATTGATTAAAGAACATCATATTAGACCCTGGGATCTCTGGCAAGAACTGGCCGTTGCACATAATAGTGACTTAATCATTACTGAATACATCCCATTAGGTACCTGGCAAATTGAACTGTTTCTGTTGCCGCGTGCACTGCGGGGAGGGGTGCAAGGGCGAAGGTGGTGTGGCACTGGGTGGGAGAGGGGGAGCTGGTGAAGAAGGTGTGGATGATGTCGTCGAGGAGGGATTACTGCTGGAGTCAGGCTGGTAGGGCACTGGAATGTGATCCTACAAGAGAAGGAACAACAATCTGATGAGCACTTCACAAGCAGCCCTGAACGTCTCCAGTTTGGCCTTCTCCAGAAGACCTGTTTGACTCAGAAGGGACCATATGGCAATTAGACTTCTTCAGGGAGAGCAAGGAAAACTGCCTGAAGTCTTGTTGTGTGTCAGGGTTGGTCTGGGTGGGCCAGTGTCTGATCAGCTTCTTATCTTCTTACACTGTCTTTGCAAGAGTGCTGCAGAGGCACACACCCCAACCATTACTAAGGTTTTAATTCATCAAGCAGGAGTAAAATCACAAGGCATACTAACAGATCATCAATCCCAGAATTATTTGACCTCATTGGCAGATGTTCTCCTTTTAGTCACGTCTTGCCTCTGTACCTGGGGCATAACATAATGCCAACATCTGTCATCTTCCCCCTTCGAAAGGCCTCCATTCCCAGGCTAGTTCAGTATTTTATTCATTTAGCTTAGTTCAGTGGTTTTATTCACTCAAGCTCCTGAGGGTGCTGGTGTCATTAAACTTTCTGTTGGGATTGCCCATCTCTTGGAAGGAGTTTGGCTGAGCTTGTCCAGCTGTGCGTGAACCTTTCTACGAAAAGCCACCAAAGCAAGAAAGAGAAGCGTTGGGATTTTTTTAACTGGCTAGGAGGCTGCCCAGCTCTCAACTTATCTTGCCCATGGAGTGAGAAATTCTCACCAGTGTGCTTGGATAGCAAAGCTCCACCTGGTGCTCCTGACAGTAAAGCTCCATCTGGGCAGCAGCAGAAGTGGAAGGTATTTGGGGTGGAGATATTTGGGTGGAGAAAAGGGAGGCAGGGAAAGCCCCTCCTGTCCTCTGGAGAATCCAATTTGGCTCCAGTTATTCCCCATCGATCATTCTTTATGGGCCATTTAACTTAAAGGGGCAACCGAGGGCATTTTGTGGTAAGGGATGGCAGATGGGAGCTTCGCACAACACTGCACATCCTTAATGCAGCTCTATGGGGCTGCTGCCTGCCAACTGTTTGATAATGCCATGGTGGAGAAGAGTTCCTAACGCAGGCAAAGAAAGCCAGTGGAGTTAGCAGAAGACAAGGGGGAGTTTCAAATTAATTTGGGGGGATGGGGAGGCAGCCTTAGGCATGTCCCCATCTGTCAACTCTCTTCTCTTAACAGAGCCATCCCTGCCTCTTCACTTGCCCTCTTTCACCACACTCTGGACTCAGCATTGCCCCGGAAAGGGTTTTTGGTGCTCTACCTTGCAGAACAGAACAGTCAAGGAGGAAGCAAAGGGTGAAGAGCAAAGCCAAAGTTCCCCACTGCCCAACAAGACCAAGTCCTTAGCAGGGGCCAAGCAAGACTGACTCCTGAAGCCTTCGCCCAGTGGGATCCCATTTTACAGCCTGGGGGAGGGCATTCCTTCAGAGGTTAATCAATCAGAAGTTTATTTCTTTATTTCTGATTTAAACAGATATGGCCATTCACTCAACAAGAGTCTCTGGGCAGCTAAAGATCATTTAAAAACAACCAACAATAAATAGGATCAATTTCAAAGGGCAAATTTTAACCAAAGCGCTTGGAATGATTCAAAAACATACAGCAATACACCAAGACAAGCTCACCCAAACAGCCTGGCCCCATGCCCAGGGGAAGAACTGGCTCTTCAGAAGCTTTCAGGTGGCCAGCGGGGTTAGCCCATTGAGATCTTTGGTGGTGGGGGGAATGCTGTTCCAAAGGGCAGGAACCGTGACAGAGAAGACACACTTCCTAGGTGCTTTTAGGTAGCATTGTTTAATAGAGGGAACCCAGAGCACTTCCTGTCAGAATCTGTGGGATGAGCAGAGATCACTGGGGATAGGGGGTCCCACAAATAACTCAGCTCTGTGCCATGAAGGGTTTTATCGGTGATAACCACCACCTAGATTGTATTTGGACGTCTGCTGGGAGCTAGTGCAGCTCACGAAGAAGAGGTGTTACATGGGCATATGGAGGCACCATGCCGCTCCCTCCTGGACCAGCTGTTCTTCTGAATGGCCTTCAAGAGATGCCTATGCAGAGGGCATCGCAATAATCCAGACAGGAGGTGACTGAAGTATGAGTAATAGTGAGTAGGGCCTCCCAATCTGGGAATGGGTACAGTTGATGCACAAAATGGATCTGTGCAAAGGCCTTTCTCGGCATGGCTACCGCCTGCTCTTTGAGCAGAAACCAAGAGTCTAGGAGGCCCTAAACTGCACATCTGCTCTCTCTGGGGAAAGGCTGCCCCATTCAGAACCCAAAATGGTAAGTATCCAGATCTGGGAGATCCCCAACCCACAGCCGCTTGGTCTTTCTAGGGTTGAACTTCAGTCTGTTTCTCCCCATCCTGGCCCTACAGCCAGAGCAAAAACTAGATGGGATACCATCTCCTCTTCTTTTTGCTCAGCAAAGTGCAAGCAGGCACAGAGAGTTTTTTTTATCAGTCCTTGAACTAGCTGCTTTGAAACGCCTTTTGAAATTAGTTTGAGGGCCAACATTTGCCATCCCTTGCCTTGATCAATTATTCGCGCACAAACCTGAAAACGAACCGGGTTTCCCAACATTCTGCAATATGGCACATCATCACATACAAAGCCTCGAATATACAAATCTGGGCATATATAAGTAATTTTGTGTCCCCCCCCCCCCCCCCACTTATCCTGGCATCCAGAAACACACACCCGAATCAGAGAAAGCTTTTTGGAGTTCATCTCTCCCAAGCAACCTCTCTTTTCCTGCCTTACCTCCAAGAAGCAGGATAACTTAGAAATGGAAAGACTGCCGTTTTGCTCCATTTAGTAAGTAAAAGATTACTGGTGTGAATCTAGATTGCAACCAATGTCACCCGAGTCCGCAAATGCCGAACTCTGTTCTTGTCACAGGATAAGCACAGGACCTTGCTGGAAAGAGACGGCCAGGGATTCTGCCAAAGACAATCTGGTTTGAAATTCCTGATCCGCCCGTTCGTGCATATGGCATTGTTGCACATTCCAGAAATTAAAGACAGAGTGAAGCTGGGACGTAGCAGTGGGAGGGGGAAAGAGTGATTTATACAAATGCCAGGCAGGTGGAATGCAAACTAGATGCAAATAAGACTTAAAACTGTTTGCACGTCAGGGCCCTCTATTTTGAGCTGCTGATGTAGCCAGCAACGGCAGTTCACATGGCATTCCGATGGCTGTCAAAAATCTGCTGTTTTCTCAGTTTGGCCACTCTAGCTGAAGAGCAGAAGCTTGGATTTCAAAAAAAGATAAACTCTGGGAACAGGATTTTCAAAAGATAGAGAAAAGTGAACTTGTTACAGATCTTCTAGTCTCTCCCACTTAGTGTCGCTTTCTCTCATTTGACTGGGAGCTTTTCTGTGCAAAAAATGTGCTCTTTTTTTGTGTTATGGTCAAATCCCAACTCCCTCTGATGATTCAACAGCTTCAGACCTACCTGGAGTCTCAATACGTATTTGGGACCCATTCCTTAATTGTCTTTTAATGCAAGATTTATATGGTGAGAATGCTGCTGCACAAACCAATCTTAGATCAGGTTATGTCCTATCCCTTGATAGAACCTTGACTGAGAAAGAATCAGTCCAGCTCCCGCAAAGGGAAGTATTGCAGCTGGAAACTTTTAGAATTCTTATTAGACCAGTGGGTGATTTCTATAAAACCCTAAGAATCCAGGAAACCATCTCATACCTGGTCAGGCTATTTGACCACTGGGTGCAGGATGAGTTCGTATATCACACTAAAGTATAAGTTGGCTTGCTTGGTGCTAATTGAACTTCTTCTATGAACCTAGCCATTACAGTGTGCAAACCTCAGCCTAAAGGAAAGTGTGCACCTAGCTGATTACAGCTTCTTCCAGAAACCATGCTTGAGCAAACCATGGATTAGGGCAATGTGTCTTTTCTCATCACTCAATACCGATCCTTTGAACTAGAGGTGGCAGGGAGTCTAAGACCTTTTGCAGGCTACACGTGGGCTGACCCTAACGTAGCAGCTGCTGATGGGTGTGATGAAGATGCTGCTAAAAAGATCTTCATGCTCAGCTCTTTTGGTCTGCTCTGCTCCATCACAAAGAGCCTTAGCTCCTCTTGGAATGGCACTGGGTACATTCCCCTACCCCAGTTTCACATCGGGACCTGCCAGTCACTGGAGTTTGAAAACAAGGGATTGTCAGGTAGCAGGGTTTAATCCGCATTCCATGCAACGTCTGCATTGGCTCCCAATGCTAGACCCCTCTGATACTCATTGCTTCTCTAGCCTTTTCCCCTCGGCTTCCTTCCCAAAGAGGCTCCGCCACCAGATCCTTCTTCTGCGGAGGCAGCTCACTGCTCCCAGGCCCTTCTTGTTCCAACCCCCAACAGGTTTCTATTTAGCATCTACCAGATTTGCTGATATCTACACCGGCCCCTCTGAGAGTTGAATTGGCAGGCATGTCTGGAAATCCAAAAAGCCATCTGTAGAGCTCTGGCCTGGCAGATGGCTGAACAGACCAGCAAGAAAACGGGATGATACTATTTCAAAGCAGGAAAAAACCTGGGACTGGCCAATTTCTTCTCCATTCCTGTGCACTTTTGTTGCAGGGCTTGTTTCCATGGCAGGCAAGGAAAGGGGTTTGTTGCTTTGTTCACCTATTTATTCATTTGAGGGCCTGAGCCCTACAGGGCCGCTACGTCATCTGCCTTGCCGTTGCAGAGATTTTAATGCGGCCGTTCATTAAGGAGGGACGGATAAGTTTATTATTGCTTCTTTCTTCAGATCTGTTTCGCGTTTGATCATCTAGACCATTGGTTCTCAACGGGGGCGGTACTGCCCCCGGGGA